TCACATGACAGGCAATGCAGAAGTTATGCTGCCAAAAAAAGCTCAGTATGTGGTAATCTTTAACACAAAAAAGTGGGAGTTGAATATTTTAAATGAAATTAGCACAGGATATTTTTGGTCCTTGTGGAAACAGCATACGTAAAATTGGCATATGCTATTAATAAAAGGGCTGCGGATAAATAAACCCAGAGTGCTGACAAACGTTTAAAGGCCATTTAAAGTTTGAAGTGTTATTAAAGCTGCAGAATGTGGGGAAAAGTAAGTTAGATCTATTTTGGCAAATTGTCAGGAAGATCTGAATCTTAAAGGTATTTTCTCCTTCTGTCAGCAACAATGTGTTAAAAGTGTTTTACCGATGCTAGCAATATTTCGTGTTTCATCATATAAATGAAATATGTGTGTGTGTTAGTATATAATTTTAATAATTCTTTATGTAGATCTTACTATTTGATTTTAACTTGTTATGGTCAAAAGTTTTATGTTCCATCATCATCATCTACTAAATAAGAGAAAAAGGGGAAAGGATCAGAGTACAGGTGGTTCACGGATTACAAACAAGATAGGTTCTGTAGGTACATTTTTAAACTAATGCCAGCACAAAATATATTTATTTGGTTTTGGATAGTGCAGGGAAGGGTTAACACCCCAGTGGTGTTTGTTTTGCTTGTGCCTATTTTGTCCTCTGTTCCTGTGAGAATTAGATTTTGAAGGAAAAATGTGTTGTCGAAACAAGGATTGGTGATAAATCTTCAGTGGAGACACCTTTTCCCCATTATAACTCTTTGAGGAGTAAATTTCCATTCCTTGGGGTACATTTTACTCACTTCTTGTTATCTCACCCCAATTTATAACTATGTCTATCAGATTTATACTCTGTCTTTTTCCAAGGATGGAAGACATGAAATAATCCTAAAAGCAGTTACATTCATTTGTAACTAAAGGCAGTCGTCAAGTTACAAACAAGTTACTAGTTTGTAGTTTGTAAGGTGGATGTTTGTAACTTGACGACTGTCTTTAGTTACAAATGAATGTAACTGCTTTTAGAATTACTTCATGTCATCCATTCTTGGAAAAAGACAGTATAAATCCGATAGACAGACAGACAGACAGACAGACAGACCTCACTACTGTCCTGATTCTCCTTCAGGTTTTCCTTTAATGCAGTGGTTCCCAACCTGTGGTCCATGAACCACCAGTGGTCCGCAAGAACTAAAATATGGTCTACTACACCATTGCAACAAGAGCTACTGGTCTCGCAAAACCCTCTTATAGTGTTGAGGCTTATTAAATATATTTTTTGTGGGTGAGCAGATGGCGACTACTGGATGCCATATGTTCTGTATTAGAAACTAGTGCTGTTGTGATCTATCCAATGCAATTTTCTGAATCAGCACCCCAAATAACCAAACCGAATATAAAGTTGACCAAAAACTGATTTGTAACCCTTTCCGTGCTAATGTTGGAGAGTGGTACTTGGCCGAAGTGGTCCTTGGTCAAAAAAAGGTTGGGAACCACTGCTTTAATGCCTTGTTGCATTGGGTCAAGCTTTGTTCCTTCTGCATCCTTTACTCTTTATCCAGATTCCTATAAATCTTTCTCCTGTGACCAGGGTTTTACAGCCTTGAAATTCACGTTACCTCACACTGCCTTTCTTGCGGATCGAAATGAGGCATGAAGTTTCTGACTGTTGAGAAAATGGCCTTTTTTAATTTTATTTTGCCAAGTTGATTGCTACAGCTACATCCAGAGGCTCATTTCAGATCTTTGATTTGAAAAAGAGTTGGGAGCTCTAAAATAGCCAACTTAATTGCACTGCTCACACAGTTTTATCTTTTTTCAAGGTAATATGAGTCATGTCAAGCCTAAAGATTGTCAATAGGATTTTGTTGCCATTTGCCAGAAGTGTGCTAAAGTTGCATATTCTTGAGTCTGAGGATATGTGTTGGATGGTTAGATTCTAAAAAGCTTCATTCTTGGATTTCAATTTTGATTTTTTTTTACCATTCAGTTTCAGAACAAAGAGTAGCTCTGTTTAAGACTATCAAAGCAGTTTCTTCGAAAGCTGTTGGTGTGGAAGAACTGGTTAATACTATTCCATTCTTTTTCAGGGACATGAGAGAAGCCTCCCACAGGATGGTAACACATCTGGGGGTCCCCTGGGCAACAGTTCTCTCATACCAGAAGCGACTTGCAGTATATTCTCAATTCCCTTCTGACACAATAAAAACCTATGTGAACTACTGCATTTCTTTTATTCTAAGACACCCCCTCCCCCATATAAACATCTCTATAAATGGGGTGCATCTTAGAATTGCAGGTGCTTGTGTGTGTATCACTTTTTGCTGGTAGTACTTTCATCTTTTAATTTGTGATATCTTAGAATCAAAGAAATACAATATTTATATCCCATTCATTTTGAATCAAAGTTGGTTTGCTTGGTTCTTCTCTAAAATACAGGATCAATTTCCTTCTAAGGAACATTTGTGAGAAGTTAGTTGTAATGTGCTGTTATGGGAAATGTATGGTATTTACAAGGTCAGTGTGTCCTTTGTCTCAAATGCTGTTGCAAAGTTGGTGTATCTAATACACTGTGACAACATGTAATAGTGGGTATCCCTGAGCATTATTTTTGTAATTATTGTGACAGGTGTCAGGGAGGACTATCATCAGGCTTTTTGTATTTTGTTTATTGTAGTCATATGTTCTGTATATTTCTGTGATGTTGTTTATTTTATTGTAACTTGTATCTTATTTTATTGTAATTTGTTGTATGGGCTTGGTCTCATGTAAGCCGCCCCAAGTCTCCGTTGGGGAGATGGTGGTGGGGTATAAATAAAGATTATTATTATTATTATTCACATTTGCAAGATCAAGCAGATTTCAACGTAACTCTTTTGTATAATTTAGCTCCTAGTTAAAGTGGATCGATAATATGTTGAGTATCTCTTGATTCATTTTCTCCTAAAAAGTGACTATGTGTTTCCTTGCGTTAGGAGAGTCCTTGTAAGGGAATCCGGTTGGCAAATCAGGAGTGAAAAAGAGTTAGTCAGGGATCTCTTAGTTATCTAAATGAATTGACACCTGCTGTCAGATAAACTACATCCCAGGATATTGAAGGAACTTGCTAGCATTCTGACAGAACCACTTGCCATCATTTTAAAGAAATGTTGGAGAATGGGTGAAGTGCAATATTTTTTATCAATGATTTAGAAGATGAGGTGGAGGGAATCCTTATTAAATTCAGAGATTATGCAACAGCCAGGAGTGCCAGGCAGCTACCATATTGGAAAATAGGACCACAATTCAAAAACACCTTGATAAACAAGAAAACTCAGCTGAATTTAATAAAATTAAATGCAACAGAAATTAATACAAATTTCTACATTTAGGCCAGAAAATGCAAATGCACAGGATGTGGGTTGGCTCAGTAGTACTTCACATGAAAAGAACTATGAGATTATTATTGAGGATAAAATTGAACATGAGCCATCAGCATGATACTGCACCATATAAGGCATGTTATCTTAGCCTGCATTAACACAACCATTGCCTCCAAGGCCTTATCTAGAGTACTGTGTTCTACCGTTCCTTGAAAAGCCTGATTTGGCAATGGTGGTCCATGCCTTGATTACATCCAGATTGGATTGTTGCAATGAATTCTACGTGGGGCTGCCTTTGAAGACGGCCCAAAAACTGCAATTGGTACAAAGGTTGACAGCCAGGTTTCTAACTGGAGATAATTACAGGGAGCGCATGATGCTCCTATTAAAGCAGCTCCACTGGCTGCCGATAAGCTTCTGGTCCCAATTCAAGGTGCAGGTGAAGAGCTACAAAACCCTAAACAGGGAGGCTCTCCTCTCGCTTCTACCACCATCACAAGCACAGCTGGTGGGGATGAGGGAGAGGACCTCCTCAGTGGTGGCCCCCTGACTTCCTCCCCGGGGAGATTAGGCAAGCCCCCACATTGTTCTCCTGCCATAGGGATTTGAAAACCTGTATTCGAGAGGGATTAGTCCCTAGTTATATATGCCGAGTTCCTAAGTTGTCAGATATTACTCTGTTTTGCGCTTCATCCACTTTCTGTGTTTATATTGTGTTGGCATTGAATTTTTGCCTGTTGGTAGCCATCCTGAGTCCCTCCTTGGAGGTCGAGAATGTAAGGGATATAAAAGTTCTAAATAATAATAAACAAATAAGCCAGAGAGCTGGCATTTTCCATAGACACCTCCAAGGTCATGTGGCTGGCATGACTGCATGGAGCACTGGAATTGGCTGTGGAATTGGAGTTGGAAGTCATGGAGTATGAATCAAAAACAATTTAGGGTGGAGTTGAAGTCAGTAGAAATGTGTCCTGACTCCAGCTTCAAAATAATATAACAATATATAAAGATAAAGGTTTCCCCTGACATTAAGTCTAGTCATATCTGATTCTGGGGGGGAGAGGGGTGCTCATCTCCATTTCTAACCTGAAGAGCCGGCATTGTCTGTAGACACCTCCAAGGTCATGTGGCCACTATGACTGCATGGAGCGCCATTACCTTCCCACAGAAGCGGTACCTATTGATCTACTCATATTTGTATGTTTTTGAACTGCTGGATTGACAGAAGCTGGGGCTAATGGGGAGCTCACCCTGCTCCCCAGGTCAGCAAGTTCAGCAGCAATGGTTTAATCCGCTGCGCCACCAAGGGCTCCCCTTAGAAGCTATAAAATACTATAAAATTGCTGTGGTTACCAAAGGTAAATGTGCTCAACCATGTGAAATAAGCTTTTTCTTTGAACAGCAGTAAAGATTGATTTGGGCATATTTCGCTGGAACTTCTTCCAAACTGTATCCAGTGATGGATAGTGACACTATATAATCATTTCACTATGTTGCAGTGAACATAATGGACTATGTTGGATTATGTTGCAGAATTTGGAAGTGCTAACATTATATTAGGCTACTCATCTATGCTTCAAACTATAATTGTAAATTGATTGGAAAATACTCATTTTGTAGGTCTTCAGCAGAAGAACTTGATGGTTCTGATTTGGTACTGGAAGATGTACATTCAGATGATGATTTGATGCTGAGAGATATCAACAGCTCTGATGAAGATGCTGATACCAATTCAGATTCCAGCAAAGGGGAGCTTGATATGCAAGAAAACAAGCAGGTAGATATATATTAGTCCTTTGGTATATCAGTACGATGAGTCCTCCCCATTCACTGGACTTTTAGGGCAGCAAACTCCCATGGAAGTGAAAAATCATGAATTAAAAAAAAGGTTATTTTTCTTTCGAGAGAACAATTTTCTTGGAAGTTCTAGGTTTTCCAGGATGGTCAACCTGACTTGGAAGATGGTCATAGAATCACAATGGAGGACCTAGAGATTCCTAGAGTTAGCCTTTTAAATCAAACTGATGAATCACCAGACCCCTAAAAGTTATAACTGCAAATGTGGAGGGACAACTATATTTGTTTTGAGTTGAATTGTAACCCTTAATTTGATATTTTTTGTGGTAACTTCATAAGAAAACAAAGTTTTAAAAAATCAGCTGAAGTCAAAACAAATAAAATGGCCAGCTGCTAAATCATCATAATGTTAACTGGGCAAAATCATTTTTTTCTGACCATGCAACTCTGGACCCACTCAATTTCCTGTTGTCAAAACTTCCTGAGGCATAGTGATACATGATTATCTAACAACATGCAAGAAACATAATTGAGAAGTAAAAGTGGACAGTCTAGACCAGGCATGGGCAAACTTGGGCCCTCCAGGTGTTTTGAACTCCCAACTCCCACAATTCCTAGCTGCCAGTATGGTGTTAGGAATTGTGGGAGTTGAAGTCCACAACACCTGGAGGACCCAAGTTTGCCTTAGCATATATAGAAATAAGTCTAGCAAACATACTGTAGTTTCATTTACGTGTTTCACTTAACTTCCTGTATTTTGATTCTAGCAGCTGTGTATCAAATTTCCAAACAATTGTCTTCTTCCTTGGCAGTGGCAAAAAAAAGTCTGCAGCTGAAAAGGGAAAGTCATGTATGAACAGCTGGCTAATTTGGCTTATAGTCTGTGTGTCTCTTCACTAACATAACACATCACTTTTTAAAAAAATCCATATTTTCTAATGGAAATTAAGGGCCACCACTAGAACGGGCTTGTTTTGAGCACTCTCTGCTCTAATAGTTTTCACAGGTGGACCAGGGCATTTAGGTAAATAGTAAATAGATGTGTTAAATAGCTGTGTTCAGGCAGGCCCCAAGTTATGAACGAGATAGGTTATGTAGGATTGTTGCAGGTTTTTCAGGCTGTATGACCGCATTCTAGAAGCATTATCTCCTGATGTTTCACCTGCATCTATGGCAGGCATCCTCAGAGGTTGTGAGATCCTCTGAGGATGCCTGCCAAAGATGCAGGCGAAACATGAGAGAATGCTTCTAGAACAGTGTTTCTCAACCTGCGGGTCCCCAGGTGTTTTTGCCTAAAACTCCCAGAAATCCCAATCAGTTTACCATCTGTTAGGATTTCTGGGAGTTGAAGGCCCAAACATCTGGGGACCCACAGGTTGAGAACCACTGTTCTAGAACATGACCATACAGCCTGAAAAACCTACAACAGCCCAGTAATTCCGGCCATGAAAGCCTTCGACAGTACATAGGTTCTGTAGGCTTGTTCTTAAAGTTGAGTTTGTATGTAAGTTGAAACAGATAAATTGCTCAAGTATAACTCCAACCACACACACACACACACACACACACAATATAAGCAAGCTTTGCATAGCATAGGGAAGGGTTAACACCCCTATGGTATTTGTTTTTTCTGTTTGTGCCCTTGTTCAGAAGATTTCCCCTCACTTTCTGTCCCTGTGATAATTAGATTTTGAAAAAAATGGCTTGTTGTGGAAACAAGGATTGGTGAGAAAGCTTCAGTTGAGACATCCCTTTCCCATAATGATTCTTTCGGGAGTGAATTTCCCTTCCTAGGGGTAGATTTATTTCACGTCTTGTTGTCTCACCCCCGTTCTCAACTATGAGTCGTTTGTAAATCAAATGTCTGTAACATGGGGACTGCCTGTACATCTAGGCAAACTTTCAGATAACCTGTTTCCCAAACCATTAGTGGACCTCTACTGTATACAGAGTTTCTTATAATATAAGGTATATTATATTATTTTTAGCAGACCAATTCTGCCATTGTGTCATTTTTAAACTGTGCACAGAAATAATTTTATCCCACTATGCCTTGCCTTAGAAAACTCAGTTAAAGTATTATTGAGCTCCAGTTGCTACTCTCTTGCAGTGAGTGACATTTTAAGGCAGGATCTGATGGTTTCTCCAGAAGATTAAAATATTTATATATTTCTTGAATTCATATCCTGCCTTTTTCTTTAAGTGAGATCCAATTCAAAGTGATTCAACACCAAAAGTTAATTGAACCCTACTTAGATGTATTCTAAGTGTGAATATGCTTCATGTTTTCACCTTATACAAATGATATGGCAATGTCCAATTATAGTGGGAAGTTTATGTATAAGAAAATAAGATCTTTTTGATTAATGTATTTTTATAGATTCTTGCCCATACGTTTGCCTTCAGTAAAGTTTCATTTTATTTGCAGATTAAAGCTGCTGGGAAGAAAACAAAAGTTTATCATATTGCTAAAGAAATCATGAGTTCAGAAAAAGTGTAAGTGTCTAGTAAAGTAAAGGTAAAGGTTTCCCCTGACATGAAATCTAGTCGAGTCCAACTCTGGGGGGTGGTGCTCATCTCCATTTCTAAGCCAAAGAGCCAGCATTGTCCATAGACACCTCCAAGGTCATGTGGCCAGCATGACTGCATGAAGCGCTGTTACTAATATGGAATATGGAATGAAATAAGTACATTTGGGTACATTTCCTTTTGCAAATGAGATAATTTGTTTCTTCTTTTTCTAATAGGTTTGTGGATGTGCTAAAGCTTTTACACATTGTAAGTATTTCACTTTGTCCATATGTATGTTAGGTTGAAAGTTAATCATTTCTGAAATTCTTTACAGAAACAGCATTTATACAATGTTATTGATTCTCCGTTTCGCAAAACAGCAAAATATCCCATTTAAGCGAAAGCATTACACTCCTGTAGCTTTTTTATACATAAGCAGAAACTGGACTGCAATCAAAAAGTTTTGACTGGACGTTAGAACTCGGAGCATGTTCTGTTTTAAGCTACAATTATTTTTAAGGCTTCAGGGTGAAAGGCAGAAATACTGAAAGGAAGGATAAAGATGACAGGCAGGAATTCGTGCACATTCCCTGCCAGGGCAGAATGCAGTAGAGCAAGAGGATGTTTTCTTAAGGGTTGTTTTCCTCTTTGACTTTGAAAATTCATTGTGTGTACACAGGTGAAACGTCATATAATTCAGAGAATGTATACCACAAATCTAATTTGTTTATGGTAGTTTGATATGTCAGGTAGGTCGTCTGTGCTGAGAAAGGAAATGACACACGTTGTCAGTTCTATGGGGCTGCTAGAATTGAGGGAGGGGAAAAGCTTGTTGCCTTTAATAAACCAAAAAGGACGGCTGCTTGTCGGCATTTATCATAGAATCACAGAATCATTGAGTTGGAAGACACCTCATGGGCCATCCAGTCCAACTCCTGCCAAGAAGCAGGAAAATCGCATTCAAAGTACCCCTGACAGATGGCCATCCAGCCTCTATTTAAAAGCCTCCAAAGAAGGAGCCTCCACTCTGGAGCAGAGAGTTCCACTGCTGAACAGCTCTCACAGTTAGGAAGTTTTTGTTGGAGCATGCAAGAAATCAGTTAGTGTGTGTGTGTCAACTGTAAAATAAGATCCACAAAGCCGATTAGTTGGGCTATGACCAGGGAGATAGCTGAGCCTGGGACTTTTGGATACTGTTACATTTTTCAGGCTTGAGCTATGCAGGTGCATGCAGAGAGGCAGAGAGAGGCAGAGTTTGGAGTGTACTCTTGCTTCATAAGCTGCTGGAAGGCGTTTCCTACATGCACAAATAAAGACCATTTAAAATCTCTCTAAAAGGACATTATGTGAATGGATGCAACTGATCACATGATTGTAAATAACAAATGCAGAAGAAAATGAATATGAGGAAATGGAGAAAACTAAACTGGAGGGTTTGGGGAGTTTGGGAATATTAAATCTAAGCCAAAAATGGGAGGGGGGCTTTCAGAGGGTTTCAGACCCACACAAGGACCTCATAGGACCCACAGACCACACAATAGAATTAGTAACAACCCTCCCCCCCCCACCACCACCTTTCTATGTCACCAAGTTAAAACTTGATTGTTCAGGTATGACATTCAGTGATCAGAAACTAAGGGCCATTTGTTAGCTCAGGACTTTTTAATATCATAGTCAGTCTTCCCTAAAACTAAAAGAAAAAAAATGTCTTGGAACCTCTTCAAATCGAAAGTGAAGACTCTAATCTGTGGCCACTTATTAATAGCAGTAGAGTGCGATTCAATTTTTTTAATGGTGGCGGGTTGGGTCATATCACTTATTAGCCAGGTGCCATGCAAAATGACATCACCAGGAACTGTCCTTTGTAATTATAAAAGGCAGTGAGCATCTGGCTGCTAAATTGCTCTTACATTTACAAGAAGTTGCAGAAGTACTTTTTTTAAAATATAAAGTGCTCAAATTTTTTTATTACTATCAAGAAAGCAACACCTGTAACCCATTAACATTTATTAGAGTCATCAAGCCTTTCCTGGGAGTCTTCTGGGAGCTGTATATGCATATTAGAAACTGATATAAATGCACAGTAGATCCTAAAGATGGGCAGGTGTGCTTTTAATATTAAAATTAAATATGATCAAATTTCCTGTAAGGAATTATATGATATAAAAAGGACATTTTAAAAGAAGTATAGTTAGAAACATCCAATAATAATAATAAAAATAATACCCAAAATGCAGACTGTGCAAGGAAGCTGATGAAACCATTGATCATACCCTCAGGTGCGGCAAGAAAATCGCACAGACAGACTACAAACAGAGGCACAATTCTGTGGCCCAAATGATTCATTGGAACTTATGTCACAAGTACCACCTGCCAGTAGTAAAGAACTGGGAGTGATCAGAAACCTGAAAAGGTAGTGGAAAATTAACTCGCAAAAATACTGTGGGACTTTCGAATCCAGACTGACAAAGTTTTGGAACACAATACACCAGACATCACAATTGTGGAAAAGAAAAAAGTCTGGATTATTGATGTCGCCATACCAGGTGACAGTCATATTGAGAAAAAACAACAGGAAAAACTCAGCTGTTATCAGGATCTCAAAATCGAACTGCAAAGGCTCTGGTATAAACCAGTGCAGGTGGTCCCAGTGGTCATCAACACACTGAGTGCCATGCCAAAAGATCTCAGCCGGCATTTGGAAACAATAAACATTGACAAAATCACAATCTGTCAACTGCAACAGGCCACCTTACTTGGATCTGTGCGCATCATTCGAAATACATCACACAGTCCTAGACTCTTGAGAAGTGTTCAACTTGTGATTTTGTGATACGAAATCCAGCATATAGATCCCGTTTGCTGTGACATACTGTGTTTTTGTGTCAGTAAAATAATAATAATAATAATAATAATAATAATAATAATAATAATAATAATATAATTACAAGTACCACCTGCCTGTAGTAAAGAACTGGTGGGATCATAAACTTGCAAAGGTAGTGGAAAATGAACACACAAAAATACTGTGGGACTTTCGACTCTAAACTGACAAAGTTTTGGAACACAATACACCAGACTGCACGATTATGGAAAAGAAAAAAGTTTGGATTATTGATGTTGCCATACCAGGTGACAGTTGAATTGACAAAAAACAACAAGAAAAACTCAGCCATTATCAAGACCTCAAAATCGAACTGCAAAGGCTCTGGCATAAACCAGTAGGCAAATATTCAATGCCTTTAAAATCACATGAGACACACAAACAGACAGTCAAGGCTTCTCCTTTCATTTCCGTCTTCTGAAGGCGGTGCTCATCCCTGGCTCAGGGAGGTGCTTTTCTCCATTTTTAAGACGAGCCTGCATTGTCACTTCCTGGTCATGTGGCCGGCAAGATTGTTTGGAGCATCTCTTTGCCATTTCCCGCCAAAGCGATACCTATTTATCTACTCACATTTGCATGTTTTCAAACTGCTAGGTTGGGTTGGCAGAAGCTGGAGTTGACAGATGAGAGCTCACCCTATCTTGCAGATTTGAACTGCCTACCTTCAGGTCAGCAGTTCAGCCAGCCTTCAGGTCAGCAGTTCAGCAGCACAAGGGCGTAACCCATTGTTCCAACTATAAAATTACTATAGTTTGTTTGTTGCATTCTGAACCATGAAACTTTTAACTGGTGTATCCTTACATTACAACATTATAAATATTTAAAAACTTGTAGCATTTCAGAAGCATCTTGTAATGGACTATATGTGAAGAGGTTTGCTAGAGCCTGTCTTCCTTTGGCCTTTACTAAATAATTGAAAATCACTGAATGCCAAAAAACAAAAACAAAACAATAAACAAGAGGGGGAGAGAACAAAATACTGTACTGATTTCAAGTAAAACCAGAACAAATGAATTTCCTGTTTTAACTGCTCATATTACAGACAAATTTTGATCCATCGTCTTGTGCGAGAATGACCGCGGAGCCTCAAAATGTTAGACTGATAGCCCTGCAGTTGTTCAGATTCAATGTTTCCTTTTTCACGTGGCAGATAGCATACCTCTGCTTTTATTTTCTTTGGAGGATGGGTGGTATAAACCCGGTACAGAGTGAAAGGGAGAGGAAGGAACAAAGTTGTAAAGCATAAGCCATATGGAACCATAAAGTTACTGTTATTAGCTTTTGACTGTTGTACACTCATGAATAAGTGTATTCAAGATCAGGACACAACACTAATTTGGTTTATGCATGTTAAGAGCATGTGCACATTCCCAGCATATCCCCGCATGTATTTTAAGTGTACCTGTTGGTGTTATGCATGTTGTGTTTTGCTTAAGGTTCTCTAAAGCTACTGTGCTCCATCTGGACTTTACTGGGTGTAATAATTGCTTGGGTTATTTTTGTGTGTGAAGGCAGTGTCTGAAAGTCATAAAAACCCCAGGAGTGTAAAAAAGCTTGTTAAGTTTTGTGTTGCCAGTTGATTTCCAAAAGACAACAAAACACTACATTTCCATATGAATAGAACCATCTGTTTTGTGGGTTTTTAAAAAAACCTAGGGCACTAAACTCCTTGGTGCCAAAAGCTGTCCTTCTCATTTCTCCCTTGAGTCATCTAGTTTCAAAAAGAAGCTGCAAGGAAAGAAAACCTGAGTGAGGAAGGGAATTACTCACCAATATTTATACCCCCACTAGATTGTGTGGGAGGCTGTTTTGTTCACCGAAGAACACCGTTCAGACAATTGTGCCTGGTTTCACATACTTTTTGACTTCATGTACATTTGTGCATTGATACACATGACAGAGTAATGCGTAATCTGGCAAAAGTGAATTTAGGCATACAGTGAATTACCGGTAGGGAGACAAACCACCTGATGCATTCATCACCCCTAAAAAGAAACACAAGGATGAACTAACCTGGACACAGCATATTATTTGAAAACACAGAAATGCTGGATCACCCTAACAACCACATGCCAGACCACACAGAGAAGCCATTGAAATCCACAAGCATGTGGACAATTTAACATAAAAGGGGAAACCATGAAAATGAGCAAAATCTGACTACCAATATTTAAAAACTCTAAAATCAGGACAGTAAATCAAGAGCAACAATAAAAAAGCAGGGGAATTCCAGACAAGAATCAATCAGGGCCAGCTAATATCTCTCAACAAAGGATCCCCCATGCATCAACAAGCCAGGCTCTGAAGCTACAAGGCTATTAAATGCTAATCAAGCTGGCCAACTGCAACGTTCACACTTGCCTCAAACAGACAAGAGTCTTTCTTCTATCCTGGACACTCCACCCCACTTGCCTAGTTTCCAACAGACCACTCAACCTCTGAGGATGCCTGCCATAGATGTGGGTGAAACATCAGGAGAAGAATGCTTCTGGAACATGCCCATACAGCCCGGAAAACTCACAACAACCCAACACAAGGAGAGTTGGAGCAAAGAGGACATATTTGAACACTCTTTCCCATCCTGATGATTGATAAATGAAGAGATAATGCTTTCACTCTAACCTGATGTCTCCAGCATGCAGATGTTTGATTTGTGAGCGACTCGGGAGGCTATGTGAGAATAAGAGTGAGCCCCAGATTTCTGTTGAAATGTACGAGCAGGTATCCTCCTATTGCAGCATTCAGATTTGCAGATGGATAAGGGTTGATTCACACATTAGATGTAAATGTGAGTGGTGGATGGATGGTATAAACCCAGCAAAAGCCCAGTCAATAGTTTGCAAGTTTTACTATTAAATAGAGATTTGCAAACATACATATATATATATATATATATAGAACAAGTACATGTGGCAGAATTGCTGGAAGTTGCTGCCACAGCCATATAATATATCTACCAATAAGCTTACCCTTGGGGTACTTGTCCAGTCCTAGGGAACTTTGACAAACAGGTTTGCTTTGTCTGTACAATGGTCATGCTGTAACCTACACTGAGAAGGCAGTTTCTCAGGAAACGTGTTCTTTGTTTCCCAATTGCACTGTAATAGGATTTCCGGGATGCGGTGGCACATGCTTCTAGGCAGCTTGGAAAGCCAATAATTGAAGACAGGATCCTGAATCAGATCCTGACCTACCTACCTCAACTATATGAGCTCAATCGAGATCTCTTGAGAGAACTAGAAGAACGTCTGTCTCACTGGTAATTATGCCACTTTTTTTACTAACAGGGACATTAATTCTAGAATATATCTCCTTTGTGGTAAAGCCCTTATTTTAGATCACAAAGATAACTTCTCATGTTAAATATCTAATTTGTAATGTGGCTATTTACATATAATGATATTATAAAATGCATACTTACAGGTAAACATTACATATGTAATAGTGTCTTTTTGCATTCCTTCATACCAGTAATTTACAACTAGACTAGTTTTTGCATAGCCAAAGAAGATCCTAGTTTCCTTTTCACATTTTACTTTCCAAGGCTTGGCCCCCTTCTACGCTGTCCTATATTCCAGGATCTGATCCCAGATTATCTGATTATCCAAGATTATATGGCAGTGGGGACTCAGGGCCCTTCCAGATAGGCCCTATATCTCAGGATATGAGCCCAGGTTTTCTGCATTAAACTGGATTATAGGAGTCCACACTTGCCAGATAATCTGGGGTTAAACAGAAAACCTGGGATGAGATCCTGGGATATAGGGCCCTCATATAATTCAGTTCAAAGCAGATAATCTGGGATCAGATCCTGGGATATAGGCCAGTATAGATCCACCCTAAGAAACTCTTTGCTGGGTGAATGTGGAATTACTATGGGAAAAATCTGACATGACATTCACAGGATATAGCCTCTAATATCATGGGGCAAATATTTCTTACTATGGTCAGTGTATTAAATCAGTTGCTCAGTAATAAATAAACACATACGGTAGGCAAATCTTACTGATTTGTTGACTCAAGTATCTGGGTTTAGGTCTGTATGTTTCTAAACAAAAAGCCTGGTGGGATGGAGATTGTATATCTGTATTTGGCAGGTACAAGGTTTAATTCTTCATGGTGGTAAATTCCAGGGTTGACCATCAGAGAATTGCTGATATATTTGTGAAAAAAGGACCTTATTTAAAGATGTATTCAACGTACATCAAAGAATTTGAAAGGAATATCACCCTCTTAGAGGAGCAGTGCAAGAAGAACCCAGGATTTGCTGCTGTCGTTCGAGATTTTGAGGTAACTAAATTTGACACGCTTTTGAGTTTCCACAAAAACTTTCATCTTGTTTGGTGATCTCTTTATAGAGTATCAGAATACAAAACATATTTGTTATCTTGCCAGATGTTTTCACTTGTTTTACATATGAGTAGAAGTTCTTTTCCAACTCTATCATTCTATATAATTTAATTTGCCAAATCTCCATTCAAAACTGTTACAGTCAAGCATACACTGGTATAATGTCTTGTAGAACATTGGTTAGGAAGTGTCTATTTCCTTTAATAGATTAATTTTATGGAATTTCTAATTGGTATAGTAATTAATTATTGCAACCAAAAATAGTTTCAAGAATGTTACAGTCGAGCTAAATGGCAGCTAGCAAATTGAATTGCAGGAGATGTAACTTCACTACTTTGCAGGAGATGTAACTTCACTACTCTTTTTCATGTTTAAGTTATGAGTGTCCAGAGAACAATGCAATAAATGTTTCTTGGGTCCCATGTAGAAGGAAAGAGAGGTGGAATACAGCTTAATTAAATTTAATAAACCTATCCTTAAATAGGTAAATGTAAGTAATAGGCCATTTCCCTCTATTAGCATGTACTTTGTTAGACCACCTCTCACGCTGAACAAAAGCTGTACTAGATGATCTACAGCAGTGCTACTTAAAGTGATTGTCCATGGACTGCTATTGGTTTCTAGGAAAAGAATAAATAGTTGATGGAGAACAACACGATGTTGGTCCTGGCATGATGCTGAAAAACCTGCCCATCTACTATATCTGATAGCTTAAGAAGCAGTGGTCTGCAGGATCCTTTCTAACCTATGATTCAATGATTGGTGCATGCCCTGGATTCACAAAGAATGGGGAGGGGGGGGCTATGACTGAGCTTTAGCACAGCAGGTTAACCACAAGGTGCAAGAAGTCTTGCCAAAGAAAACATTGGGAGTTCAAAGCCCAGGTCTGGGTTGAGCACCCAATCTTCAGCCCAAACCTAGCAGATTGAAAACAGCTATGAGTAGATAAATAGGTAACGCTCAGCGGGGAGGTATTTTAATAGCACCATAAGGAAATACCAGTTTCTTTAAATCCAGTTTCTTTAAATCCAAGTGAACCTATGGTCTTCTGATAGTATAAATCCAATTAAGACTTATTTCATCCTGTAACAGCAAGAATAGGCTCCTTCTTTGGAAGCTTTTAAACAGAGGCTGGATGGCCATCTGTCAGGGGTGATTTGAATGCAATATTCCTGCTTCTTGGCAGGGGGTTGGACTGGATGGCCCATGAGGTCTCTTCCAACGCTATGATTCTATGAATAGTTTAAAAGAATGCTAGAATTCTTGGTGGTTTGCCTTTCAGATGAGCCCCCGATGTGCCCATCTAGCACTTAAGCACTACTTGCTGAAGCCGGTCCAGAGGATCCCCCAGTACAGACTGCTTTTGACAGGTAAGAAACAAGCCAATTGCTATTCTTGTGTGTGTGAAAAGCTTGGGAAAGTTGTCTTTTTGGTCTCCTTAAACAGCACTGGCTGGGGATTCCTTTTCCAAATTTTGTGTGTGGCAGTCTCATTTTCTGAAGAATATGTTAACCTGAATTAAACTCTCTGATAAAATTACTACAGTAGAGTCTCGCTTATCCAACCTTTGCTCATCCAACCTTCTGTATTATCCAATGCAGTCTTCCTCCCGCCCGGATCCACAGTTGTTTCAATACATTGCGATGTTTTGGTGCTAAATTTGTAAATACCGTAGTTACATAACGTTACTGTGTATTGAACTGCTTTTTCTGTTGATTTTTTGTAAAACATGGTGTTTGGTGCTTTATTTGTAAAATCATAATGTAATTTGACAATTTGACATTTAATAGGCTTTTATAATAATAATAACAACAACAACAACAACAACTTTATTTATATTCTGCTCTATCTCCCTGAAGGGACTCAGTATAGATTCCAAACATAAAGGCAAACATTCAATGCCTGAACACAACGATACATCCATACTAACAAAATTGAAACAACTTAACATATAAACACAAATTATAACTCAACAACTAAAATTCAATTAAAAAAACACAGCCTATTATAACAGACATAAGACAAAACATCAAACATTGAATGGAAACAATAATTTTACTTTTTCTTGGGGCAAATTGATTAATCATTGGTCATGATATCTATTGAGCTGGTGCGGTAAGCAGGGCACAGATACAGATGGCAACTATTAATCAGGGGTATAATGGTAGTATTACCAACTACTATTCCTCCTCCTCATAAGCCAGTGAGCTAAGGTATGTCTTCAGCTGTTTCTTGAAAGCAGGGAGGAAGAGGGCCATCTTTAAATCCTCAGGAAGGGAGTTCCAGAGATGGCGGCAGCCACAGAGAAGGCTCTTTCTCTTGTTCCCACCAGCCGTGCTTGGGACGGGGATGGAACTGAGATGAGGATCTCCTCCGATGACCTCAGTGTCCGAGTTGGTCTATAGAGGGAGATGTGATTTGTAAATAGTCTGGACATAAGCTGTTTAGGGCTTTAAAGGTAAGAACCAGCACTTTCCTTAGTTTTTGCTTATCCAATGTTCTGCTGGCCCGTTTATGTTGGATAAGCGAGACTCTACTGCGTATAGGAAGAAAATAGAATGCCCTATTTCAGGGCAGACTAAAATGCAAAAGAAGGAAAGCATGATCTTGGATTTTTTTTCTGTTAAATACATTTTGATGGAGATAAGTATCAGACATATGATGTTAGACTATGTTTCCACAGCTGTTCAGCCCTGTTCCTGCTGTTCAGGGTAGAGCAGTATTGATTTCAAAGGCAAAAGGGAGACTCTGAAAACTGAGATAATACAAATATTGTTTTTATCATAAATGTTGATCTGTGCATATTTTGATGTTTTGGTGAGGCTACTGAGATTATGCATAGTTGGTTTAAAAATGCATATTCTACCCATACTTTGATCTCTTCTTAACACTGGATTCCTAAAATATTTAGTTGAAGCCAATGACACTCAACTGAGTAAGCCTTGCTTCTGTGTTAATACACATTGACTTAGGCTGCAAGTCATTTTCACAGTTGTATGTTAACAGGGAGAAGTGTTTTCCTCTCTAAGATCTGGTTCTCCAGCTTTAAAAATAAAGGTTTAGAGATATACTATAGTGCATAAATGTTATACATAGTATCATGGAAACTAGCTATCGCACTTTTGAAACTCCTTCTTTTCCTTTAAAAATTAACATTTTGTTCAAGCTACTAATAAAAACTGTGGCAAAATGACTTTTTGATTTGTAACAATGGTTGGTAATGGTTCATAACTCCACACCTGATGAGGGATGGAGACCCTGGTGGTGCAGTGTGTTAAACCTTTGTGGCGGCAGGCCTGAAGACCGACAGTTCGGAGGTTCGAATTTGGGGAGAGCTTGAATGAACTCCCTCTTTCAGCTCCAGATCCCCATGCGGGGACATGAGAGAAGCTTCCCACAAGGATGGCAAAACATCAAAATATCCAGGTGTCCCCTGGGCAACATCCTTGCAGATGGCCAATTCTCTCACACCAGAAGCGACTTGCAGTTTCTCAAGTTACTCCTGACACACAAAAAAACCCAACAATATGAAACATAGATGGAAAGTTCCAAGTTGTGACCTTTTCCATGAAGAAAATATTGGTGCAATGTTTTAATTATATGTAAGACAAAAAAGAGAGAATTGTATCTCCTCTAATTCAGACATGGGCAAACTTCAGCCCTCCAGGTGTTTTGGGCTTCAACTCCCACAATTCCTAATAGCCATGATTGTGGGAGTTGAAATCCAACACATTTGGAGGGCTGAAGTTGGACCATGCCTTCTTTAATCCCACTTTATAGCTCCTTTAATTCTGTTTCTGACAATCTCCATCCTGCTTTTAGAGATAAATCTTTTTGTTGCTTCCTGATTTGTATATGGAAGTTGGACATGTTACACAGATAATGTTTTACATATCTTGATCTATAGCACGCACTAGTGAGTTCCACTGCTGAACAGCTCTCACAGTTAGGAAGTTCTTGTTGGAGCATGCAAGAAATCAGTTAGCGTGTGTATGTCAACTGTAAAATAAGATCCACAAAGCTGATTTTTGGGCTATGTCCAGGGAGAAGGCTGAGCCTGGGACTTTTGGATACTGTTACATTTTTCAGGCTTGAGCTATGCAGGTGCTTGCAGAGAGGCAGAGTATGGAGTGTACTCTTGCTTCATAAGCTGCTGGAAGGAGTTTCCTACATGGACAAAGAAAGACCATTTTAAATCTATCTAAAAGGACATTCTGTGAATTGATGCAACTGATCACATGATTGTAAATATGTTGTTCCGAATTACGAAGAGTGAACTACTTATTCTTTATTGACCATCTTTGTGGCACATTTCCTTTCTCTGGCAAGACAGTGTGTGGGCTAATCAAACATGAACTACACATGGTTTATTTTACATTACGCCACAGTTCCTCCTAATGTTCAGGTGGAATCTCCTTTCCTGTAGTTTGAAGTCATTGTTCTGCATCCTAGTCTCAGGGCAGCAGAAAACAAGCTGTAAGAGAAAACGAAAACAAAACAATGGTGTGTTTATGTCTTTTTAATACCATCAAAAGTGATATGTGTGTCTTCTTGGCACTGGAATAAACTTATGCTATTTTAATAACATTTTTAGGAAAATCTGCTATTATTTAGCTATGTAGTACTTTTATTTGATGTCATTCCTAATGAGACTGGGAGTGCTTTGCTAAATAGTAACAGCCAGATACTTTCTCCCTTCTGAAATGAAAACTTTCCCCCTCTATTACCTTCTTATTTCTGCAGGGTTCCTGAAAAAATGTTAGCTTCTATTGCCAAAGATACAGAAAGGACTGTTTGTGCTGACTTAGTGAATTCCAAACGGTTCAGGCTTCCTTATCCTGTTTTGTTTTTCTTGTATCATGTTAGTGCATTGGCAGGTCAGAAGCTCTAAATGTTGGTTTTAACCTTGTTGCTCTTAGCCTTTGGAAAGTTTAAGAGACCATGGAGCCAAATGTAGAAGGAAATCATTTCACCACCTATCCTTCCTCCATGACAATTGCTCTTCAGTGAGCTGTGTTTTATGTTTTAAGTATTCTTTTTATGGCAAAGGGCTTTCAGATTACAGTAATATTTCAAGTACAAATAAGAAAACAGGTGATTAATCTAGGTCATGTGTTTAGGAGGGAACTGTGTACAGTAAGTGTCAAACATACATGACTCATTCCAGAAAAAGATTAATATTAATATTAATCACTACTTCAAGTCTTTTACATGGAGCTATGTGCAAACAAGAACTACCATATATACTGGAGTATAAGACGATCTGAATATAAGCCGAGGCACCTAATTTTACCACAAAAAACTGGGAAAATGTATTGACTCGAGTATAGGCTGAGAGTGGGAAATGCAGCAGCTACTGGTAAAATTCGAAATAAAAATAGATACCAATAAAATCACATTAATTAAGGCATCAGTAGGTTAAATGTTTTTCAATATTTACATAAAACTGTAATTTAAGATAAGGCTGTCCAACCATTATTCTCACCTCCTTCCATGTAAATGTGCTTATGTATTCTTCCAATAATAATAAAAAGAGTAAAATAATAAATGTAATAATACAAATAATAATAAAGTGAAATAATTGTAATAATAACAATAATAAAGTGAAATAATAATAATAAAATAGAGTAAAATAATAAATGTAATAGAGTAAAATAATGCAAATGTAATAATAATAAAGTAAAATAAATGTAATAATAAAAACAATAATAGAGTAAAATAATAAATGTAACAATAATAATAACAGAGTAAAATAATAAATAGCCTTGACTCAAGTATAAGCCGAGGGGGTCTTTTTCATCCTTAAAAAAGGGCTGAAAAACTAGACTTATACTCTAGTATAAATGGTACTTCATTTTTGGATGCTAGCAGCAGAAGACTCCATATAGATAATATATAATACCTGTGAACACACATAGTGTTTGTTGATAAAAAGTAAAAAGTAACAACGGATAAACATTCAGATTCCAAATGTTGGTGCCTTCAAGACACCTGTTCAGTCATTATGAATTATTCTTGCTCTAATCGTCTTGCATGCACTGCTGTTTCTATATTTCTTTAGCTAAGTAAGATTATTTTTGGCATGGACCTTCCACTTGCTATTCAAGGAAAGCATGGAATTAGATCCAGGTGTTGAGGCTTTGTGGTAGCACATGTTATCCCAGATCAGAGATTATTCTTGAAGAAAAACATGTTGACATTTCAAATAAAAATGGTAAATGAAAAAGACTGATTAGAATCGACTAACCTTGATGTTCTGGATAGTGAAACTATAAGTACATCCTATCATCATGAATTTGTGTTAGATTTTGAATTTGCTTGGGAATTTGACTGCAAGTTCAATTTGGTTATTATAAGAAATTCTATCCAG